GCATTGGGCCAGATGTGCCAGGGCCTCTTCATTGTCCCTCCTTTGTCGCTAGACCTATCAGGTCCGCATGTTGGGGAGCTGTGGGGCTGAAGGTCTGATGGCGGGTGGACGCCAAGGGACAGTCTGTGCCCCAATGTCCCCTCTGGTGGCATTTGGGACAGGGCTTAGTTGGCACTCTGGGATCAGGACAGTCCTTTGTCCAGTGGCCTTCCTGATTATACCTGTAACAGGGGCCTGGTGGTTGGGAGCTCTTTTGTAGGGGTTTTCTTTCCTGTGGTGCAGGTGGACTGGTCGAATTAAGAGCTTGTGCTAATAATTGATATTTCTTTGTAATTTTGAGGTCATCTCGGCCATAGTAGGCCTTGAATGCTGTGGCCAGAACCTCTGCCTGAGGGGTCAAGGGCCCCCAATCAAGCTTTTTTAGTTTAAGTCTAATGTCGGGGTAGCTCTGAGAGAAGAAATGCATCATAATTAATCTCTGACCATCCACAGACTCAGGGTCTAGTTTGGTATGTTGACGGAGGCCATTCAGTTAGCCTTTGTAAAAAGGTGGATGGATTTTTGTTCTTGTCTTGTACAATTTCATTAAGCTTTTCATAATTAATGGCCTTCATGGCAGCTCCGCGGAGCCCATGAAGGAGACAATTAATGTACCTGTTTCGAGCTGCAATTCCCACCTCTGTGTTGTAGTCCCATTCTGGGTCCTGATCAGGGACTGCAGCAGCACCTGCTGGGTGGTGATTGTTGGTTAAATGTTCTTGGTCTGCATGTGCACGAGCCTGATCCAGCACTGTTCTATTTTCCTCGGGAGTTAAGGCATTGGTTAAAACTACAAAGAGATCATGGTAAGTTAGTTGATAAGACTGAGTCAAAAGTTGAAATTGTTTTATAAAGGTAGTCGGATTGGCTGTAAAAGAACCAAGTCTGGCCTGAATGAGAGCTAGTTCAGACATAGGAAAAGGACTATGAACGCAGACAATTCCTTCAGCTCCAGCTACTTCATGCAAGGGCACCATCGTGTGGCCCTTGTGTGTCTTGGAGCAGGTGAGAGGTGGAGCATAGGGTGGGGTGGTCCGTGAGTCAGAAGAAATGGGAGGGGTAGGAGATTCCAGAGGAGGGGGGTCAGTTGTGGGGCGACCTTGAGACAATAGAAGTATGGGAGAGACTTTGGTGGTAGAACAAAGAGAGGGTTGGCTAGCCAGATAGGAAAAACCCTGGACATATGGGACCTCCGACCATTTTCCTTGCCGCTCGCACAAGTTGTAAAGGTCTCTAATCAGGCCCGATTCAAAGGAGCTGTTAGGCGGCCAGACGTTTTGATTGCCTAATTTATATTGGGGCCAAATTTGAGTAGACAAGCGAATTAGCCGTTTGGGTTTTAAATCAAGACCCTCCAAATTCCTGAGTAAGCATCCCAAAGGAGAGTCAGCGGGTATAGAGGAACCAGAGCCCACAACCACCAGGACAGGAGGTTATCAGAAGACCAGACGTCTCCGAGAGTTCTGATAAAACTCCTCTTTTTCTAGACCCTGTCTAGAAAGCTGAAATTCGGTCTCCCGTGAAGGCGTCCCTTACAAGAGATAGGAATTTATGCGAACTAAGTCCCGGACTTAGTTCAGTTGAGTCCCGGACTCAACGGAGGCAAACCCGGTTTGCCAAAACTGAGGGACAGAGGACCTGGGCCCTGGCCTTGTCCCGGACATGGTCCTAGTGGGTGGTCTGGAGTCTGGGGTCCCCGTTACCCTGAGGACTTCTCAGAAGGGGAACTTACCCAAAAAGGTGTGGGTCTGAAGATCAGTAGGTTGGTGATGGCTGCCAAGATGGCGACAAGGAGAATGGTTGCGGACATCGGGCGGAGGTCGAATAGGGGCGCCCTAGAATCTGGGTTTCGGGCCCCAGGTGTTTAGCCCATGAGGAAGAAGAAGCAGAAGGAGAGAGAGAACAAAGAAAGGAAGGTCCTTTTATCAGTTTGGGGGTGGGCTATTGCTTATTTATGAGGAGTGAGTTACTTTTAACCTATCACAGGCCAGATTGCTTTTATGGGCCCAGTCCTGCAGACACAGGTTTCAACTTTCCTGGACCACTGTGGCCTTGGGGGGGAGGGAAACCAGAGATAAGGGCATGAGGTCATTTTAGGAGCCAAGATGTACCAGGAGAATGCAGCCTGTGAGGCGGCGTCACAGCATACTTTAACATGATCAATTCCCTAACACCTCTTCCATGGAACCCTGTTCCTTTTGTCTGTTACAGCCCAGGTGAGCCCCAGGACTTTGTGTGAGCAGGCCTCCAAGTTCCTTTTATTCCTGGCCTGTCTGGTACACCCAGTGGTGATTGGGTTGCCATGTGCAGTTCGGAGAATGCAGCCTGTGAGGCGGCGTCACAGCATACTTTAACATGATCAATTCCCTAACACCTCTTCCATGGAACCCTGTTCCTTTTGTCTGTTACAGCCCAGGTGAGCCCCAGGACTTTGTGTGAGCAGGCCTCCAAGTTCCTTTTATTCCTGGCCTGTCTGGTACACCCAGTGGTGATTGGGTTGCCATGTGCAGTTCTGCCTGGAGGTGCTGCGCATCCTCCAGATGTCCCAGAGTGGCTGAAGTGAGACCCTTTTCCTCTGACCTTCTCTGTCTCTCAGAGTCACCCAACGTGAGCACCAATGCCCTGAGTTCTTCCTTTTCCCCACTCTGTCCTTGAGCTTATCCTCTGTCTTTTAGGGGATAGCAGAAGGAGGGGTACTGTGAAGCAGGCTTGGATGCCAGGGTTAGTATTAGGGTAGGTTTAGAGATTGGGTTTTTCTAAGGTTTAGGCCCTGCTGGATATAGGACCAAGTAGGATCACAACACACAGAGCATTACTCTGGTTCCTCTGACTAAGGACCCACAGGGAGTGATGGTCAGCAGTGTCCAGGTGAAACATCCACTACTGGGTGACTCCTGCTTCCTTGCAGGCATTTATCACCCCAAATATCAGGGGAAACAGAGATAAAGGCATTGGCACTTCCCTGTGTGGTCAGTGTCTTCTGGGCAGCAGGCTTGTGGGTGGTTACTCAGACAGAGAGCAAATAGGGACCGAGTTACCTCCCTCTCCAATCTTCACAGTCTGATGACACAACCATGGTTCCTGGCAGCTGACTCAGACCATGGCCAACTTTCACCGGTCCATGCTGAGTCTGAATGTGCAGTTGAGAGATGGCTCTGTTCTGTGGACACTGAGCTGGAGAGGGCAGCATTTTTCCTGGGTCCCACAGGAGCCTGTTCACTCCACCCATTAGGGGGTAAGGCCTCCTCCCACAGGTGCTGAGAATCACTGGGCCACCCCTGGCCACATCCTGCTTCCTATTTCTGATCTGCATGTTACTGCCTGGACTCTTGATCCTGCTCTGAATGTCTCTGGGCCATGCGGGTCCAGAAGTTCTCTGGGGTCTGTAGGGGACAGGGAAAGGGGGCATTACTAGAACTCCTGCAGTGAGTCCTAGTGTCCTGGGAGCCAGGACATCACAAGGGGAAATCAGTTATATAGACATAAATGAGACTTAGAGAAGAAACTGAGCTTTGGGCCTGATCAATGGGTCTCTGGGCAGCAATGATGAAAGACTCACAGCTTGTGACACCTTTATTCAGTACATCAGGATAACAATGTTACAGGTGACTCAGAGGACAGTTGCAGTGATAATCTTAGAACAATGAGGAACTATGTAGATGAAGATTTTGTTGCTTCCCTGGTGTAATCTTTTTCCTCCAGTGGTGTAATCTTGTTCTGGAGCATCACAGCATCACCAGATTCTTGAGGTTTTAGCTGAGACTAGAGGGGAAAATGGAGTTAGTTAGGTCTTGACATGCCATAACTGGCCTGTAGGCAGGAAAACTAGGCCTAATTATAATTTTAATTGTAACATGATTTCTCCCAAAATTATGTAGAATTGCTCCCAACGGGTCAAGTCAGTCTTCATTGGGGCTGCAGCAAAAGGTTCCCCTTCTTCCTGCCTCCTTCCTGTTCCATCCTCAGGGATTTACCCAAAGTTTCTTCCTAGTTAATGCTTAAACATAAGTCCTGGGGTATGTTTTTGGTGGAAGGCTGATGGAGCAAGCTGGCAGTACCCTGCTGAGACTGGTTTTCCCCAAGAGAAGGTGGGTTCTATATGCTGGCTGCAGTGCAGAGCATGGACTCTGTTGTCCCCAGGTGATAGGATGGAGCCCCAGGAGCGGGGAGGGTGCTTGGTCTCAGCAGTTCCACATGGGTGTGAAGAGGGTCCCCATGTCCTGGACTCCTGGACAGTGGGATCCAGGATTCGGCTGGCATCTGAGGAGCAGGCAAAACCAAGTCATGGGCTCTGCAGAAGGCTGGGTTGGACAGGACAGCAGCTGGGGCCTGAGGTCTCTCAGAAGAGTTAGGCTGGGGTTACCTCCCCTGAGCAGGCTGTCAGGCTGGGGAGCCTGGTTCAGATGGCCATAATGGAATGTGTGTGTCAATGACACACAGAGTCACCTTGGGAGGCCAGCGGGATGAGCCCCAGCCCCAGGCAGGGCCACCACACAGAGTTCAGGGTTGGGGAGAGTGAAGCAGATCCTAAGGAGATCCAGCAGGACCTACCCACCCAGGAGGCAGAGGCTGGGCAGAGAATCCTTCGGTGGAGACCTCACTTTGGTGCCAGCCCTGCTGGGAATGGCAACCCCTAGGGCTGACTGGTTTCTGCTTAGCAGTCATCTCTAATGGAGGTCTCCATTTTCCCACCTTGCTGTGCCATCAGCGGCAGGTGTCACTGTCAGAGCCTGAGTTCTGACATCTGGGCACACAGGGTTGTGGTTTCAGTGCTCTGGGCCTGAGGAATAGGCTGAGTCCAGGCCTTGGGGGCTCTGGCTGCACCCAGGGTCAAGGAGGTCCTCTGTGGACACAGCCCCACACCCCTTCTGTGGCTCTCTCTGAGGCCAGCCCTGTCTCCCAGCAGTGTTGGGTGGGGTCTCTCTGTTGGGGTGGGGATACAGGCACCAGGGTGGCCACCCTGCTCCTCAGACCCAGGCTGTAATTTGGACTCTGTTAACGGGTAGAGCTGGCCAGCAGGGCGGGCACAGAGCTATAAGTAGGCCAGGCACCCACCCTGGAAGTAGTCTGAGTCATCGAGACGGCACTGGAACCCATGGACACATCGTTCCCCCGTGAGGACCCTCAGGGCCCGACACTGGGCAAGGCTGCTGATGCTGCTCCCATGGCCCTCGTGTTGGGAGCACCGAGCCCTCCACCCCGTGACCACTTGATCTGGTCCATCTTCAGCACGATCTACCTGAACCTGTGCTGCCTCGGCTTCCTGGCACTGGTACACTCAGTCAAGGTGGGCTGTGGGCACAAGTGGGCCTCCATGGAGGATGGGGAAGGGAGCTCCATTTGGAGTGAGGGAGGGGGCTTCTTGGGGAAGATGGAAGCGGGGCTCTATGGGCAGTAGCTTGTGAACAGGGCCCTGGAAGGGGGTCATTAGCATGGAACCACTGTGAGAGGCCTCCCCATTAGAGAGGGGTGCCATTCACAAAAAGGAGGGTCTGTTCTTAAGGGAGAGTAGGGTCCATAGTGGGGTTCCACATGCTTTGGCCACTATGAACAAAGCTCCCTTGGTTCCAACCCCACAGTCCTCTTTGCACAGAGGTGGATGTGGGGGCAGAGCTGGTCCGATGGCCATGGGCCTGCAGCTGAGGCTCCCAAGCCATGACTGGGCCCTATGACCTCAGTGACGCCCAGCACTGTGTCAGGGAGGGAAGAGGGCCCAGTCAGGTAGTGCTCCCTGGGCTATACTTTTTCACCCCAGTTCTCATCCAGACAGGCCCTGCCCCAAGACCCAGGACTAGCTAGTAGTGACGAGCTCTGTGACTACTCACAGGCCCGAGACCAGAAGGTGGCTGGTGACCTAGAAGCAGCACAACGCTATGGCTCCAAAGCCAAGTGCTACAACATCCTGGCCATCATGTGGACCTTGGTCCCTCCACTACTGCTCCTGGGACTGGTGGTGACTGGAGCCCTGCACCTGTCCCGGCTGGCTAAGGACTCTGCGGCATTCTTCAGCACCAAGTTTGATGATGCAGACTATGACTGACCAGTTGGGTCCCTGTCCTGACCAGAATGCCCCAGTCCCAGAATCCTGGCCCAAGGGAGCTGGATCCTGTGATTAGGGCCTCAAACCCTGCCTGGCCCTGACCCTAGAGGCACCCCAGGCCCAACATGGGCACCCAAGGCTGACCCACTCAGACTCCAGCGACCTCAGCCCAGCTGTAAAAGGGTCCCCAGCCCCTCACTCACTGGGCTCAGTCTCTGTTCACAATTAAAAGTACCAGATGGGGCCAGAGATTTAGCTGTGCCTGCCTTGCAAGTACAAGGTCCCGAGTTTGATCCCTGGAAACAAACCCTCCCACCGCACCCCCCAAAATAAAAGCGCCAGGTGCCAGAGAACTGGGGCTTCTGCGTGCTGACCGTGTGGGGAGGAGCTGCTACAGGGACCACACAGCACGTCCTCCTGGACCAACTTCTATTTGCCTGGTTTTGTCTACCCAGCTATCCCCCGACTGTGCCTTTGCTTAGCTACAGGGCAGCCTGTGGCTTCTGGGGTGGAGGCGCCTGAGTATTTTAGGACAAAGTTTGGGAATTCAGGCCTTTGATCCCTGCTGCCCTTTGATTTGGTGGCCTGTGCTCCAGAACATGTCTGGGTGTGTCCCAACTTCATGTGCCCCCCACCCCCATGTGTGTACTGCTGCCTCACTGGTTCTCTGTCTCCCTGACCCACCCTTTAATGATGAGATCTCTATGCTGCAGGGATCTTCCACCCCTAGGGAGAGTAAGGGAATTTGGGAAGGTGGATAGTCTGTTTCCCTGGAGTGGTGCATATTGGATTCCCACATGTGGTCACACAGATGTCACACTCATATGCAAGGACCCCCCGTGCCCCTGCCAAAACTCTGTGTGTAGGAAAAGGGAAGATAGAGTGGGAGACCTCTGCTGAGCCCCAGTGCTGAGGTGCAATCTCCTGCCTGATTCACCTCATGACACCCACCCCATAGAATCCATCACATAAAGGCTGCCAAACACAGACTTGGGGGGTTGGGATGAGGCTCTGGCCCACTGCGGCTTAGTGGCAGAGTGAGCTCATCACAGGGCTCTTATTAAAAGGTAGTTTGGGACTCTGAGCTCCTCCTAAGTCCCTTCCATCTGTGTGGAGTCTGCAGTTCTTCCTGGGCTGGAGGAAGGGTTAATCCCACACAGCTCCCACCAGGTGACAAGTCTCGGGCTGTGGCCTAGTTGAGTCCTCCACCTCCCAAGGGTAGAGTATGCTGGGGGCCAGGCTGGAGACAGAGAGATGCCACCGCCAATGAAGGACATGGGCAGTGTGCGACCTGTGCTTGGGCCAGAATGGGGACAGTGTGTGGCCCGGGTCTGTTTTAAGAAAGGGCCACCCTGTGCTGGACACAGAGGATGGATGCAGGGGTCAGTGTGTGTGCTGCTGGGTACATGTCTCCAAGGAAGGGATCTTCTGCTGGTCCCTATGTGCAGTAGGGCAGGGACAAGTACTGAGGATGTAGCCTTTGGTCAAGTTGCTGGTGCAGCCCTCCTTGCCCAGGCTTAGTCTTCTGGGCAGGCTGATGGACCTCAATTAGCCATGCCAGCACACATGCCCTGGGAATGTCCCCACACAAAGTGCACAAAGGTGACCCACACATGTAGCAAGCACCAGGCTCACTGAGCCATGGATTCAGGGCCACCCACTACGCCATGCCAATGCCTCCATGTAACCCCAGCACTGTGCCTCCAAGATGAATGCCCACTCTTGACTGTATTAGATGGCACCGTCTCCTCTGCAGACTGCTGGTCTCTGGCCACTAAGTGACAGTGATCAACAAAGCCCTGCAGCTGAGTGACAGCACATGGCAGTCCCTGGGAGCTCAAGCCATATTCTTGTTCCCAGGGCTAGGGACCACAGCAACCATGCCCCCCATGCTCACTGTGGCCACGAGATGAGGAGTGTCCATGGGTCCCTGTCCCATATGTTGAAAACTCCAAATGAAAAAGCAGCTGACTGAGGTCACAGTGTCCCAGACCGAGAGGCTGAACAGTCAGGGGGATGCAGGTGTGCTCCAGAGCTGCCCCAGCCCAGGGTGCCCTTTTTTTTGTGTGTGGAGCTTTCTGTCTTGTGACCACTGAGTGAAAAGAATGGGGATGTGACAATGCAGAACAAAGGGGTGGGACATATACTAGGGACTCACCTTGGTCCCTGAGCCGTTATCTTACTATTACCTCATTGCTGAGACAAAATACCCAACACCCAAAGATAAAGGGGGAAAGATTTATTTGGCTTACAGTGTGTAAAGGTTTCAGTCTATAATTGTCTGGCTCTTAAGGCAGGGTGGCACATGGAAAAAGAGCAACAGTTCATGGCAGCAGAAGACTGCAAAAACAAGAGACCTTAACAGCATCTTTCTGCCCCTTTTATGTTCTCTAGACAGCTGGAATTAGGGCAGTGCCAAACCAATCACTCACTTCTAGTGGTTTAGTAATCACACTCCCTTAATCTCAGTATCACACATTCTACATTCAACCATCTCTTAAAAAGCCACCTATGACTGCACGAGGCTTTGGGAAGACATCTAGACAAAAACTGTAACACCAGGTGAAAAGAGAAAGCCCACACAACACACAATACTACTTCTGCAGGAAGTTTGTGGGGGTGATGTTGTGTCCACACCAACTTTTATTCCTCAAGCTGCTGTGGTGCAGAGGGCCAGGCCTCAGCAGGCATCAGCCCCATATACCATTTCACCTTGCTCTTGGAAAACATCTGGGATAAGCCATCCCAGGGGCTCAGGGCCTAGGACCAGAGGCCAGGCAGAGCCCTGGCTGCAGCCTTGAACCCACACACTTTTGGCTCTGGTTCTTCTGGTGGCCAGTGGGAGCTTCGGGCTCTTGTTCTGCCACCTACCTGCTCTACCCTCTGGTGCCAGTTCTCCTTCCCTGCTCACCAGCCAGTGACTGAGGACGGGTTGCCCAACCTACCTCAATGTGCCAGAGACTGGCCAATCCCAGAGTCAAGAAGAGTGTGACCATGGTGGTACAGATGAATGATCACTTAGAGAAGAGACTTAGTTCAATCACTAAGGTGCCCAGAGGGGCTCTGTCAACTGAGAACACCCAGCATTAGGGAGACTCCCAGGAGAATCCCTAACGTTGAAAACTCTCCAGCTTTTATTTAGAGTATCAGTGTAAGTGAAACCAAAGCAGAAAACAGTTTGGGCAAGGAGCTGTCTCAAGGACAGGAAGTTTTTTTTGGGGAAAAGGAAAGGATAACAGCTAGACACAACACACCTCACTAAACTGGTTGTTTAACCATTTGCTTCTCACAGAGTCTGGGTACCTTTGACCTTCGGTTTGGCCAAGTGCCCCACACCAGGGCCCCTGACACCCAGTCTTTGGTGCTTCTTCAGGTGGCTGTGCCCCTCCTCCAGGCTCACATCTTGCTGTCCACTTGAGCAGAAGAATCTAGGGACCAAGACCATAAGTGGGTGTGGGGTTCAGGCTCTGGCTGTAGGAACAAGACAGGACGCTGAAGGATGGGGGTGTCGAAATCAGCCCAAAGGCAAAAAGATCAGGTATGTGGTGGGTCCAGGCCCAGAGGGGCTCAGGCTGGGGTGAGGCATAGAGGAGTGATTTCAGGAGAGGACCAGGATGTCTCTGAGGGTGGCATCCTGGTTGCATGCGGGCCGAGCTCCAAGATAAGACTGTGGGCCTGGAGCGAGATCCAGTGTCTTCGAAACACTTCCAGAGACCTCCAGCCTTGGGCTTCAGGGCAGCTTTGGGAGTGATCTTTGTATCCGGCCAGCTGAGCAAGGAAATGAAACCTGGTGCCCTGCAGAGACAGCGGCACCTTGGAGTGAGGGAACCTGTGGGGCACCCTAGACCACATCACCCCAGACCTTACCTACCCAGGAGCAGGGGGAGCTGAGCCCGTGATGGCCACAGCTCAACCTCCAACTGAGGAGCCCCAGGCCATGCCTGGGCTGTGGCCTCAACCATCACCGAGTCCTTGCAGAAGGTAAAGTTGAGCCTGTTCCCCTGGTAGAAGATGCCGGACACACACACTCTGGAGATGTCCGTCAGGCACAGAGGGTCAAAGATCACACCTGTGCAGGTGACCCTGTGGGGAAAGCTGTATGAGGGGATGAGGACAGCCCTTCTGCCCACACATGTTCTTGTGCTCACCTGAAGCCTGTACACCCGAATAGCACTGCCTGCAGGAAGCCTCCCATGCCTGTGAGGAAGTTCACGGCCCCGGACCCGTCTGCATTCTCCGTCCACACCTGCAAGAGGGTGGTTGTGGCAGGCCCGGCACAATGGCCTCCTATGGCTGCCTTGCCAGGGTCAAGAGGAATGCCAGGCTGTGACCACATGGGCTGGAGTGGTGGCTGGTGAGGTCAGCCAGGCTGACCTTGAAAGGCTCGGTGACATTGGTGATGTTCCTGTCCAGAAGGCTCCGTGCCCGTGATGGGTCCTTCAGCTCCATCCAGCCCACTGCAAACATGCTCTGGTATCAGAGTTCAAAGAACATGGGGGTAAGACCCATGGCTTGGGGAAGAAAGAAGGTCTGTGGGGCAGGACCACCCCCCAGGCTCCTCACCCAGGTCATGGCAGGGCCCCGAGGGGATGTTGCAGCCTCATAAATCTCTAGGTTTCTCCTGCGGACATCAGGACTCAGGGAGAAGGGGACAGGGTATCCCAGGAGCACGACATCAGCCTGCTTCACCTCCTCTCCTAAAGGGTGGGGTGCTGATGGGGGCGTACTAGGTCGGACATAGGGTCATAGGCAGGGAGAGGATGGGGGTCTAACCACTCACCAGGCTCGTACCCATCAAATTCAGGGTGGAAGTTCTGCTCGGGGTCAAAGGGTACCTTGATCTTGTCAGCCACCACCAGCCACTGGTCAGGGATAGGCTGACCCAGGTCCCGTGCCAGGTCAGTAGCAAAGCGCAGGCTGTGGGTGGTACACAGGCTACAGCCCCACACTGCTGGCTGGGCCAGGCCTGCTAGGTAGGCAGGGGCAGACCCAGGGGTTGGAGTCTGACCTGTTCTGGAGCAGGACATTGGTGTACACAGAGTTGTCGACTCCTGCATGGTATTCATCAGGGGGCATAACTCCTGGGCACACAAGTCCATCGCAGCACATTGTGCTGCCGTCAGCATGGGTGGCCCAGGACACCCATTCTCCTGCCTGCCCACCTGCCCTCCCAGTCCCACACCTCTCAGGTAGAACGTCTTCTCCCTGGGGTTCCACTCTACACGGCTGCACCAAAACTCAGCCACAGCGCTGATCACGTCCCAGCCACCAGCTTCTTGGAAGAACTGCAGGTCCTGGGGAGCAGAAGGTTGGACTGAGGTTGAGGCAGGGAGGGTTACTGTGCAAGTCCAGTGCCCACCCTTGACTTTGAATGCCCCTTCAGATGGCATCCCAAGACTGTCCCCAAATGGGGGGAGGCACACCTGGGGAACTCTCACCTGGGTGGCGTGGTAGTACAGTTGGAAAGCCAGCACCACCGCCCCATTGATGTGGATCTCCTGGGCCCCATAGATGTCCTCAGGGCAGACCTCCAGCCCAGAGCCTGCGCTCTCCCAGGCAAACTTGGCTCCCTGAATGGGGGGGGTAAGAGGAGGATGGGCCCCCTGACCTGGGGGGCCGATCCCTTCTGCAGGATGGAGCAAGGAGGAGTGGGGGCTCTGGTGCGCCCTGCATGACCCTGTAGATCAGGTGGCCTCTGCACACAGGGTGTGCTGACCCTAGGTGGCCACCTTAAGTGGTGCCTAGGCCCCTTACCTGGTAGTCTAGGGCCTGGGCATTCTTCAGGGCCCCACCCAGTGTCCGGACACGGTACTCCAGGAGGGCCCTGGCAGCCTCTGGGTGAAACATCAGGATATTTGGGAACATCCAGAGGTCCTGAAAGAATGTCCCCATTCTAGAGCTGGACGGGCTCCCCATCCAACCCTCACCCCCAGCAGTCACCCTCATTACCCAGTGACCATCAAGTTCCCCTCTGTGCCCTCAGCTTCTCTGGCCCCTAAATCTTGTCCTCCATTCAGCTCTACTTGGCAGCAAAGATCTGCACTGCTCTGATTAAAGTCCCCAGGGCTTCCTTGGCCCTAAGGAAGCTCCAGCACCACAATGCTCTCCCACCTGCATGGGGAACTCTCCTTCGTCTGTCAGGTGACTCCTTTCACTCTAGGCCTAGGCACCTGTTGGCCACTCTCATCTACCAGATTCCTGCATGTCCTTCTGCCAGACACCATCTCTTCCAGTTTGCCTCCCCACCTGCATACCCCCTGTGCTCCCCAACCACTGCTTGAATCTGAGGGAAGGCAGAGGCTGAGCCTCACCGCCCATTGTCTCACTGTGGCTGGTGCTGGGTGGGCAATGCACACCTGGTCCCAGAAGACATGGCCCCAGTAGCACTCTCCTTGGCTTCCATTGGAGAGGCCTCCGGGGCTGAGGCCGTGGGAGACATATCCTGAGGTCCCAGGCTGGGGCAAGGCACTGAACAGGTAGTAAAAGGAGCTTCGGAGAGCCTGGCACAGAGCCAGGGGCCCTGCCACATTCAGATTGCAGCCTGCCCAGAACTGGGCCCAAGCCTGCACATGGATGGCATAGAGAGAGCCCCTGGCCTGCAGCTGTAGAGCCTCGGTGAGGCAGGCCTGGGCCTCCACCTGGCTGCCACCCACCACAGTCAGGAAGTCCCAGGTCTTAGTCTCCTCGCCTTCGCCAAGGGTCAGGGCAGGGGGCACTGGTGTCCACAGCATGTGTACCTCCTGCCGGGGATCCCCTGGCTGTTCTGGGGTGAGTGTGAGGCCCCACAGGTACCTGTGAAGGTGTGGCTGTGCCTCAGTGATGGCTTCCTCCTAGGGCCACCCCTCCAGGACCCGGCCCCCTGCTCACCTGAAGCCCTGGAAGTCAGGACCCAGGTGCAGGTCCAGGTCTGGGCTTTCTGGTGAGAAGGCAGATTGCAACAGCACCCTGATGGGGCTGCTTTCCACAGCCTCACGTGCAATGCACACACTGAAGGCCAGGATGTGGGGCAGCATGCGGTGGGCATAGATACACTGGGAGGCCCTGAAGCTGGGTCCCTCCAGGGTGTGCAGGAAGGATCCTGGGGAGGGTTGGGAATCTGGTCAACCTGGGCAGAGGCAAGGGGAAGGGGGAACCCCACGAAGGGCTCAGAAGGCACAGCTGCTGTGCCGCCCTAGTCAGGGTGTAGGTCCCTTGCACCCAGGAACACCTCTCCGCTCAGTGAGGTGGACACATCCTCCCAGCATCACTGCAATAGCTTCACAGAACCTGGGGGCCCGCAAGAGAGGGAAGGACACCCACAGAGGCCACATCCCGTTGCCTCTCTTGGCCTCCTTTTCTATGTGAGACCCCTGTGCAAAGTATGTGCAGGCCAGGATTGTTGTGTGGTTTCCTACGCTTGGGGAGAGGATAGGCCAGATGCAACTACCTGTGTTGGTGTCCAGAGCAAAGGTCTCGGTCAGCTGAGCTCCTGTACCAGCGGGGGCCTCCAGCCGGACGTTAAGGGGGCTGGGCAGGACCGCCCGGTGTGTGCTGCCCCGGGCCCCATTGTACACACCGCTCACGTGTAGCGTGTTATGGTACACACGCGTGCCCAGGTACGCGTTGGTTACCGTGGCCCAGAGGCGGGGGTCCCTGGGCAGAGAGTGGGAGATGAACACGGTGGGGTCCGGCTGGGCGTCCTCCATAGGCGGTTTCTGGTGGACAGGCTGGACCGTAACTGCTGGGTTCCCCTCTTCAGACTGTAGCCTCCCAGTCTCTGCGGAGACTGGCTGATCCGGAAGACGGGAGTGGGGGACCTGGGTTTTCCAGTAAGCCCCTTACAGGCCGCCAAGGAAAACGCCGTGAGCTCTGGTCTCCAGCCAGATGTGGTTTCCGGCGTCTCAAGCAAGTCTCCACACTTGTCCCCTGAGACCCCGCGAAAGAGCTCACCCAAGCCCGCCGTCTACCCGACTCTTCGTGTTCTGCGGTTGGGAGAACAGAGGACAAACCAGGAAGGGCGGGGGCGATCGCGACTGTCCCCCGGGCCTCCTCTCACGGCAGCCCTGGTCGATCGCCAGACGCCCCCTGGTGGCCTTCAGTGCAGCCCTTTGGGCGCCGAGCAGAGCGCCTCGTGGCAGACTTGGGCTTGGCCCCGGGACGAGTTGGGATCGTGGCGCAGGGCGTGACTCAGGGGACTGCCTGGCGGGCACCGCCCTCCCATCCTGAGACCGTACACCTGGTCAGACATTCCAGACACCAGCGCCTTGAAGTCCAGTTTTCACCAAACATGTCCGTCTACAAAGCTGGATTTGGAGTGCCTAGCGTGTGACGATTTTTTTGCCTTCATCCTTTTTCTACTGTGTTCCTTTCGCCAGAGGGCAGTTATGCGAGATGACCTAATTGCTTGAGTAGCCCCTCCGGCTCGCTCCGCCTTCGGTCCCAGCGGGTCTCCACCCCTGCCCACGTGGAGCTCCGGGCAAAGCCCTGGGGTGCCCACAGCCCAGCCTGACTTAAATTGTGTCTGGGTGAGCTGATCAGGCTCGCTGCTTCGATGTTTATCCTGGACAGCGCGTCGGGTCACTGCTCTGGTCTCTCAGGCCTGCAGCAGGGCTGCCTCAGCCCCTCACCCAGGCCTGCCTCGGTTCCGCCCTCTTCTCAGCCTCTTGCCTCTGCCTCTCTTCCCCACTCCCTTGCTCTGAGGTATGTGGAGCGCTTTCCTGAACTTTTACCCAGGCCTCATCTGCATAGAAAACCCTGCTCCACTCACTGTGTAGCCTCTCACTGCATTATGCGTCCCTCCACGGCTCGTGCAGCGCCTTTATTATTTACTGGAGAATGTATTTATGTATCACATACATACTTAGGATGTCTTCTTCATAATATATGTATTTACTATATTACTGTTTCTGTATCTGGGAGGCTGAGGCAAGAGAGGGTTGTAAGTTTTTGTTTGGTTGTTTTTTTGAGGTAGGGTCTCCCTTTGTAGGTCAGGTTGGCCCTGAACTCACTATGTAGCCAAGACTGACCTTGAACTCCAGAAATTTGAGGCCTTCCTCCTGCCTCAGCCTACAGGTGTGCACCACCACACCGGGTTTAGGAGGGTCATAAATTTGAGGCCAGGGTTTTTGCAACATGAGCAAATCTTGTCTGGATTTTTTAAAAAAATCCAACCATTGTGGCTCCTGCCTGTAATCCCAGTACTCTAGGAAGTTTGCAAGTTTGAGTCACTTTAGGTCCTTAGTGAGACGCTATCTCAAAATTTAAAAACAAATAAATAAATAAAATGAGCTAGAGACGTAGTTCAGTGTGAAGACCCTGAGTTCAATTCCTAGTACTGTTAAAAAAGTATCCTATATTTACGTATCACATGTACAGTATCTATTGTATCTTCTATCATATGTGTACTTACTGTGCTGTGTTTGCATGTTGCCTACATGTTTATTGTCTGTCTTCTACCTAGAATGTTGTCTTAAGAGGGCAGGGTTTTTTCTGTTTTAGGAATGAAAGAGCGGATTTACAAAGTGGTAATGAGGATGCCGGGCGTGGTAGTGCTCGCCTCTAATCCCAGCACTCGGGAGGCGGAGGCAGGAGGATCACTGTGAGTTCCAGACCAGCCTGGGCTACATAGTGAGTTCCAGGTCAGTCTCAACTACATAGTGAGACCCTGTCTCAAAACAACAACAACAACAAAAAGAAACAAAAAACATACAAAGTGGTAATGAGGGAATTTCCCCTGGAAAGTGAGGGGTCAACTCCACCCAGTCTGCTGCCCAAAAATGAAAAGAGCCCAAAGAACCTGGCAGAGGAGACTGGGGTTTCTGGGATATTTCTTGCTTTCTGCAGCCGGGCCAGCTGCTGAGCCTGCTTTCCCAGTGGTGCCCATGGACTGAAACTTGTCTTGCACAGGTGGGTTAGTGAAAGATGGTCAACATCTGCTGGGATGCTTGGCCAATGTAACAGAAGCCAATGCCAAAGAATCTACCAGATAATTCATTATCAGTATGTCAGGGCCATCAAGGTTCCCACCCCAGGGGGTCATCATTCTGTGTCCCTTCTTGCCCTTCAAGCAGGGAGGACTTCTTCTTGGCTCTGACCTCTGTGTCTTCCATCTGCTTCATGCTCCAGGCCTCAGAGGGCACTGATGACTCTCTCAGGAGGACCAAGGTGGCTGTTGAGTGCTGGGTGGACAATGGCCAATCTGGGCTTTGCTATCTTCACGGCCTTCAGCTCCTGTACTGATGGCTCACTCAGCTCCACAGAGGCCAGACTACGGTCAGGTGCATGGGACAAAAGGTTGGGTCACAGAGGCCTGGGCTGTGGGTTCAGTGCTGGGGGCCCTGGGATGGGGTGGGGCAGTGTGAGGCTGATGGCCTTGTGTGTGCTAAAGGACAAGGACAGGAGACCAGACCAGTCAGGGATCTTCCAGAGATGAGTGGCCTTTGGGGAAGTAAAATGGTGGTAGGATCATGGGCCCAGACTGTGGTATAGAATATGGGTATTATTTGATCAGCAAAGTGGTCCAGGGCTTCAGAGGGGGTACTCTGTGAACTGAACTCCCAGATCTTGTTGGAGCCTGGTCACTTGGAAGGTCTCTGGAGGGAGTTTATCGTGGGGGCCTGTGGGAGCCCCAGGGAACCCCCTGGGGTTGACAGGCTGGGTCCCAATACTCTGCTTGCTTGCCCCTGCTTTTACCTGAGGGTCTGCAGGCTGCATCCTGGGTGCTGCAGGGCTGCACACAGGTAGGTCACCACGGAGTCAGGCAGGTAACAGCTACTGAGGTCCAGGGTGGTGAGGGTAGAGCTCTGCCAGAGCAGGGCTACCAGATACTGGAAAGCTTCTGGAGGGTTTAGCAGCAGCACCCTGGGGAAGAGCTGATCTCAGGAGCTGCTGGGGGTGGGGTCATGCCCCTCAGCCTCCTGGGTGGGGCCTCACCTGAGTGTCTGTACCCGGCACTGGGGCCAGGCTAGGCCCTCACTCAGTGCACGCAGACCAGCTTCACTGAGCCTGCAGTGGAGGAGGACCAGCTCTGTCAGGGCAGGGGCTGCCCTCAGGGCCATAGAGAGGTCTCGGCAGATTCTGTCAGGGAGTTTGCAGTGGGACATCCTGTGGTCAAGAAGGCACAGATCTGATGCCTGAGACCAGGCTCACCAAACAAAACAGAAACCAAAACAAAATCCAAAAAGAAGCAGCTGGATCTATCTGTCTGTGGACTCCCCAGCCACTTCTAGCCCCAAGTGCAGAAATCACTCGCGCCCTGGTGGCCTGATGTTCACCCTGGAGAATGTGTGGGGTCCATTTAATTGAGCCGTCATTTCTTTGGTCAGCTAATCCCTATGGTAAGGCAGTTGTGTTGTTTCTGTTTTTTCCTTTTGTTTTCTTTTTGCTACTGTAAGCAGAGGTATGCTGAGTATCTTTGTACATTTAGTTTACTGATAGAATTGCTGGGCCAAATGTAATCATCCTTTTGGCTCCTTAGGTTTATTTCTACCTCCTACTAACTTTCACTGTGACTGCTAGTGTCAGTTCCTATAACTTCTCTTACTTTCTGCTCAGTGGTGATGGCTAACAGTGATTGGAAAGTGATTGCATTCCAGGTACTGCACACTGTAGGCTCCTGATATCCTGATATCTGTGAGGGAAAACCTGGCTAATTTCACATCAACCCTTTCCTCCCTAGCAGCTAACTTGGGGATGGAGTCCTGGTGGGTCCTAAGGCTTCCTCACAGGTCATCCTCCTGTCTACACAGGATATCCTGCTCCGAGCCCCCTCCAGGGAAGGAAGAAGCTGTGGTCACTCACGTCAGGCTGCTCAGGCCACACTGCTGGTCAGTCATGGCCTCGAAGAGTGGATGCAGTGGGGTGATCCGGAGTTGTTTCATGGCAGCTTGAGAATTGCTAGAATAGAGAGGTGTTGAGGCCCACTATGCTCCTTCTAAGTTCCTATCTATCTGTGGTCCAGGCTCTTGGAGCTGCCTCTGCCAGTCACCCCCCACACTAAACCAGGATTCCCCCATCCCTTCTTAACCAAGTAGGTCTGCAGAGCTTTAGGCCAAGCCATGGGACAGGTGCTGAGTGAAGCTAAGTTCAAAGAAACTAGCACAATTCTTGCCCTGGAGGGACTGAGGGTCTGGTGGAAGAGGCAGGCAATGAAATCTTCCCATGGGGTAGAGTAACCAATGGGATCCTAGGTCATCAGGGGCAGCCAGGACAGGCTTTGAGGATGGGCAGCAAAGGGAGTGCTGCATATGGAGGGAGCAGTAGATGCAAGGCTTAGGGCAGAGGACATGGAGTATTCCAGAACTTACTGGAGAAAGCACACAGGGAAGGGGCTGGGCCAGAGCTGCAGGAGGTAGCTGCCATGCTAGGAGGTCTGTCTTGGTTGTGGATGGCTGAAGATGGGCATGGTGAGGACACCCTCGGGAAGATGGGCACTGGGCAGTAGCTGACTTGCAAGGAGTAGACAGTAGCCTAAGGCTCTGCTGTCATTTTGGGGAATGGTCTGGACATGGTTCCCTGAATTGAAAAAGACACAGTGCACAGGCAAGCACTGTCACTCATGCCCCATGAGCCTCACCCCTTCAGCCGTTTCAACAGGCTCCTCTTCTTTTTCTTTTCCTGCCCGGCCACCAGGCTGCAGCTGACAAGCTGCAGCACCTGTCCAGCGGGGCAGCACTTCATGCAGTAGCTCAGAACGTCGAGGTCCATGCGACTAAAGTGCACACACTCCAGAGTTAGCTCAGGGAGGCTTCTCAGGGCCTGGTTCACAAAAGCCTCATCCTGGGTCTCGTACAAGCAGTACAGCAGCTCCAGAGGGAAGCTGAGCTCTTCCTCCTCTTCCTCTTCCTTTTCTTCCTCCTCCTTTGGCTCCTCCTTGTCCTTGAGCCCTTTGGAACCATCTGCTCCCTTTGGTGCCATCCTGAGGTGGCCCTGCCCCTGCACCCATTGTAGGGCATTCTGCTTCACATGTGCTGGGACCACGCAGCCGAAGTGGCGCTCGACATCCTGTACATGCTCCATGTTCAGCAGCCCGAAGAAGAAGCGTGTGGTGAGCATGAGGTGGCTGCGCCCCTCGGAGCCCAGGTGCAGCAGCGTCTCCAGGCCGCCTGTGGGGACTCCGGGTGCCCCCACGTCCTCCAGCAGGTAGGACAGCGCGGCAAAGAACTCCTGGAAGCTCTGATCGATGAACTGGTAGATCACCTCAGTCTCCAGCACACTCGGCAGCTCCTTCTTGATGAGAAAGTGCTGGATGTCAGAATCCCGAAGCTCCAGACGCTCCATGTCCCTTTCTGAAAACTGCGCCTTGTATCCTAGTATGCCTTCCCGGGCCAGGAGGCACAGCTTTCGCAACTCCCCCCGCATGCGGGCCCTCTCGGCGCCCATGGAGTTCAGCGCGCTGGCGAGGAAGAGCAGGTACACTGAGGTGGTGGTCTTGGAGGTGCGCGACAGGTCTCTGCCCAGCTCCAGCTGCCGGCGCAGTACGGTGCACACGATCCAGCAAACGGCTGGCACGAAGCACAGGGCAAACAGCGTCTCGTTCTCCTTTACGAAGCGGTAGGCGCGCTCAGCCCTGCGCTCCTCCTGGAAGAACTTGTAGAAGTACTTCTTCTTGTCCTTGTCGGAGAAGCCGCGCACTTCAGCGCACTGCAGCGCGCACTGGTCGAAGTGCAGTTTTCTGGACGCTGTGGCGCGCATGGTCACCAGGAGGCGGGCTGAGGGCAGCAGCGCCTTGCTCAGCAGCC